GGTTTTATGAGTTTTCCCAATTTTCGCAGGCCGATGGGATAGTCAGTCATACACCTCCAGGGTCCTTATTCTACGGAGGTGCTTCATCGTCATCAGCTCCTCATCAACCTAATGTACCAGCGCAAGACGACGACGACGATGATGATGACGACGATGATGATGACAGCGAGGAGTCAGAACAAGTGATACGAAGAAATCCTCCTCGAGACTGACAGCCACCGCCCTGCGGAACACATTCGCGTCTCAGGCATCGATAGATTTTATTTTTATTATATTTGTATTTACTTTATTTTGTTAAATTGTAATTTTTTATTATTTCTCATTTAATACTTACTTTATTTTGTTAAATTTGTTGGACTTTTTAATGTATTTCAGTTCGTTTTGTTTATTACCATTTAATATCAGTTATTATAATTTGGTTATCATTTACCATTTAATACTTATTGTTATTAGTTTGTTAAAATTTAATGATTGTGTTTGTTTTTTTAATCTTCATCGGTGATTATCAAATGACATTAACTTGAAGTAAATGCAAATTAAAGTACAAGAATTATTATTTGATAATAAAATACATCATTTCCTCATCAATTGTTACTTGATGACAACAGAAGTGGACATGTTTTTCTAGTGTGTCATGGGTTTCTATAATGCCCACATCTTCTGTCTTGTCTAGGTCTTTCTCTAATATCCATATCGCAATGAATTCGGTTGGATTTTGGACGACCACGCTCTCTCAATAAACTCGAATTTGGTACAATCGGAAGCCAATCTTGAATCTCATCAGGGTCTTTGTCATTACCTATAGGGGGAAACTCAAATTCGTATACCTTAAAAACTTCAGATAGTAGGTATACAGGATCCACAAAATGGTTATAGTCTTGACGTGTATGCGAGCAAGCTGCTATCACATGAGAGCATGAATACTTCAGAGCTTGAAAAAACCCGCAGTTGCACGTTCTGTCCCTTAGATTTACTCTTAACGACACAGCTTCAATCCCTTGAAGAGGTCGCGTCAACTCTGTGACACGAAACATTTCATGCCTTCTAGAGAAGCTTGTTACAGACATTCCATTTGATGCAGCAATTTTTTTCTGTAGATCTGCAACTAATCTAGGGTGATAGGCATGACCGTCTTGCATCCAGGTTTGAGCTTGTCCCCTGAGCTTCGCAAAAAGCGCCCCCAAACGAAAATATGTAGTCTTTACCAAAGCCGCTACTGGTAAGTGACGTGCACCCTTTAAGGTTGAATTGATTGCCTCTGCCAAGTTGGTCGTCATGTGTCCATATCGATATCCACCATCATATGTGTTCGTCCACGTTTCTTTATCGATGAGGCTGATGTAATCATATCCTTCCTCGTTCTTCGCCCGCAACTCTTGAAACATTGATTCAAATGTTCGAGGAAGTAGTTCGTAACCTGATCAAAAAATGTATAACTTACTAACTTGATGTCTTTACAAAATTAAAACGATTGAAAGAAAATAAACTTGCTAAGTTTCACTTACACATGCGCACAATTAATTGACGCTCATCATTCTTCTTGTACCTTCCATGGTAGTTCGCGGCAATGTGTCGAAGACAATACCTATGTTGGACAAAGGGTGGTTGCCACACTGGACCCAAAGACTCCATTGCTGCTTTGATCCTAGCTCCGCGATCTGAAATGACACAGATGTTTTCCCTCGTGATAACATGTGCCCGTAAATTTCGGAGGAAAAAAGCCCAAGAAGTTGTATCTTCTTCTTCGACAAGAGCAAAAGCAACTGGAAGAATGTTGCGATTGCCATCTTGGACAACTGCCAATAATAAAACTTGCTTGTATTTTCCATACAAGAAAGTCCCGTCGATCTGGACCACAGGCTTGCAGTATTTGACAGCATTAACGCATTGTGGGTAACTCCAAAAACCTGATAGAATTGGCATCGATCGCGAATAACTCGATCATTATAGTATGCATAGGAGGTTTTGAAGTCCACAATTATCCCAGGATTCAACGTCCGCACCAGCCTAAACCAACCTGGAAGTTCATTGTAAGATGCATCTCATTCGCCATGAAGTTTGACAATGGCATTTTGTTTTGCCAACCAAGATTTTTTATAGGAGACAGTGTACCCATACTGCGATTGTATAGCTGAAATCAACACTGCAACAGCTATATGAGAGCTTGCTTTGACCATGGCCATGATGGCTTGGCATATCACTTCAGAGTCCAAGTTGGGATGATCTTGGTTGACCTCTCCAGCACAACATATGTGAGGACCGTTGTATAATGTTAGTTCTCATCTGTTGTTTTTCCTCTTCCTTTTCGATACGCGAACCATCCAATTGCATCCGTTTTCACGCTGGGCATAGTAGCATACATATTTTTCGGTCGTGGAGCGATCTACTCTGGACTGAACAGAATTACGGATATTATAATTTTTGATAGCCATCATCGCTTCTTCTTTGCTTGAAAACTCCATGCCTAAAGATAACTCACCATTATTTATTGATGAGTAATACCCATAGTCACCGAGATGAGGCATATCCGCAAATTCTGGCCCGTACATTACACCATAATCAGCTTCATACATGTGTGCAGGAGGGTCAGTTTGTGCCATATTTTCTAGAACTTCATCATCATCGGAGTTGAATTGCGGTGATTCTGGGCGAATGAATAGTCCAGTCTCAGCAACATCCGCACCAGGCTCACGAAGCGGTTCTTCTGGTGGAGATGATGATTCCTCCATGCTCTCCACATTTAGGTCGTAGAACCTACTACTTGCACGCCTTCCCCTTGAAATGGAAGGCATATCGACATTGAGATCGAAAAAGCTCGCAGTCGAATGCCTCCCCCTAGAGCTTGAAGCCATCGCGTCAAATGGAAACTGCACAGATGGTTGCGTCGATGGCATCTCCATATTAAGGTCAAAGGGATTTGCAGATGAATGCCTTCCCCTTGAACTGGATGCGATGTTGTCATACGGATTGTTTGTCGACCTACCTCGGTACATACCGTAAGGAGTTGCGGATGAATGTCTCCCCATTATGGCATTAAAATCATTACACATTACTTTCGTTGGGCTGTCAACTTGATCAACTTGTTTAGGCAGCCCATAGTGGGAGCTTAATGATTGACCCCGAACAGCACGCACTTGAACAAAATGTGCATACATCTCAATAGCGGCGTCTGAATAATTACTTTGAGCTTCAACCATCATTTCAACATCATCATTGTTCGAAAGTTCGAACGCTGTATAAGTTAATGACAACAATGATGTTGGAAATCTATATTGCAACGACGACACTCTTCTACTACTTCCAACATGAATCTTCCTCGAAATCTTCGTTATCAGCTCCTCAAGAGTTATGTTTCTCTTGAATGATATTTTAACACGCTCATTTGATACGAAAACAATGCCGATTTCATCTTCTCGAATTTCACCAACATAATAAACAATAGCTGAAAGTCGCGCCATTATTTGAGTTTAAAAGTGCGGCACTATTATATCTGCAAAAAAAATGAAACAAACCTGATTTAATAAATTATATATGAACGAACATATAACACAATAAAAATTTTACACATCAACGTAAATAAATTAAATAATATAATTTAATATTATTACATGCACCGCAAAACTATTTCGACGTATGCTTCCGCTTTCCAATTTTACAAACACAAAAATTAATTAAAAATAATTAGTATAATATTTTTTCAAATAATCATAATAAACAATAAATATAATAAAAAATTATAACAAAATTACCTTATAACGAAAAATCGCACGAACTTCTAAATAAAATATGAGAAGATTGCCAGAATCATTGACTCGTTGACGGAATTGTTGTATTAATTTATAAGTTGAGAGGAGAGATGTGAGAAACTTAACCGGCGGATAATAGTATTTATAGCGAGGAAAGTTATACAAAACGCGGTACTTGCCCCGCGCTATATAAAATTATGTCAGGAGTAAAGGTATGTCGCGGTACTTGCACCGCGCTATATAAAATTAAAGGTATGTCGCAGTACCTGCCCCGCGCTATACCCCTACGTGGCGTATAGCGCACTGCAGAGACCGCGCTATACCCATGTGTATGCCAGATCACCGTATAGCGCGGTGCAGGAGGCGCGCTATACCCCACGTGGCGCCAAATCATCGTGCAGGGGGCGCGCTTTACTGCTAAGGGTGTTAGATCAGAAAATATTATCTGACCGATGTTAGATCGAGAAATATATTATTCACCGGTGATATATCGGGAAAATCGCCATTTAAACTAAGATTTACGTAAAAAAATCTTATAAGAAAAAATCACCAACATAAGAAAAGAATTTCATACGTAGAGAAATACAAAATCCGTTACAATTACATATAAAATCTTATTTCCTATTTTCTATTTATAATGATAGAAAAGAAAGGAAAGTTACATAGATAATATTATTCTAATTGAATTTTTTTTATTGGTCCTGGTCAAATATATAAGGTTTAGCTAATTTTTCCCTCGTTTTCTCACTAAACAAACAAACGAAAAGAAATTAATGCGACTGAATTGTGCATCATGGCGATGCATGTCATTTTCATAGACATTACTCCCCCTCTTTCCTCGTTAATGTTTCAATGTCCTCTGAGAGAGAGAATCCCATCATTAATGCTTTCCTTTTCACCTCCACTGCACTCCCCCTGGTTTCTTTTCAATTTTTTTTCTCTACTGTGCAACTCAAAACAAGGAATCCCCTGCACTCCTCACTGTTGTTTTGTCATTATTTTTTCTTTTTATGATGGTTTCAAGTTGTCTTCAATGTTTTATGTTGTATTTTGTCAACCATTAATGGTTGCAATGTTTTTGTATACCGCATATTGATTGAACATAAAAATAAAAGCATAGGCAGCAGCAGAAGACAGCTTGAAACTCACTGATGGACTGATCTTTCTTCGTATTTATTTACTTTTTGATTTGCCTAGATAAGATCAAACTCGCACTTAAAGCATCTCCCTGTCCTTCTCTCTCGTGTTGCACCTCTTTGTATGTTTTGACTTCACTCAGGACTCGGTGAGTTTTTCTCAAAAAATATGGGTAGGACGCCATGTTGCGAAAAGAAGGGGTTGAAGAAAGGGCCATGGGCACCTGAAGAAGACGAGATCCTCGTGAATTACATAAAGCAACACGGCCATGGAAGCTGGCGTTCTCTTCCTAAGCTTGCAGGTTTGCTTCAGTCCAAGAAAACCCTTTTTCTTGGTGTTGTTCTTTTGTGCTTTAAGTACTTTTCGGATGTTTATTTGTGTCCACTAAAGCTGACACTCGCAAAGTGCTAAGATTTTTAGTATAGACTTCAGGGTTTACTGATCTTTCAAGTTCATGTCACTGTTTTGTTTAGATCTATTTGTTTTTAACCAACGTTTCTTCATCGACAGGTCTTCTTCGCTGCGGCAAGAGTTGCAGGCTTCGATGGACGAACTATCTTAGGCCGGACATAAAACGCGGTCCCTTCACCATTGAAGAAGAGAAGCTTGTCATTCAGCTTCATGGCATTCTTGGAAACAGGTATTCCCTTTTTGTAATTAGCTTTGTTTGGGAATTTTGGTTTTGTTTTGAATGTTTGTTGAATTTCCAAGGTGGGTCGCCATTGCTGCTCAACTGCCGAGAAGAACGGACAATGAGATCAAGAACCTATGGAACACTCACCTCAGGAAACGCCTACTTTGCATGGGAATTGATCCACAAACTCACAAGCCCTTTCCCCCTTGCGGCGGTCCGATCTTAGCCGCGCCTTCGTCTCCCGCGACTCGTCACATGGCTCAATGGGAGAGTGCTCGACTCGAAGCAGAGGCTCGCCTCTCCAAAGAGTCATTGCAGCCTAATTCTCCCGATTATTTTCTTCGGTTATGGAATTCAGAAGTCGGTGAATCGTTTCGTAAGTTGAACAATGAACACTCGACTGCTTGTCGAAGCTCGATATCGCAGACGTCTTCATCGACGAAATGCGGATCGGTTTCGGCTGTTACGGTCGATGCCTGCCCCAACGCAGCTGGTTCCTCAACCCCTGCAAGCAATCGAATCGACGAAACCGAGGAACAAATCGACTCGTCCGATTCATGTTGCTCGGAAGATTCATCGGACACTGCACTGCAGTTGCTGTTGGATTTCCCCATTAACAATGACATGAGCTTCCTGGAAAACTGTTGACAGATTTTAGTGGGACAGCTAGTTTTATGTTAAGGTTTTTGCCTGACCTTTCTCCTATGCTATTTGACTAAACCATTCAAGGCAGTTTGTTTTTATATATAATACAATATTAGCATATGAATCCCGTTACCCACTTGTTTCCCTAGAGACACCAAATATTATTCCTATTTATTATCACTTCTATTAGTGGTAGACATTTGAAATCTTTAACTCCTTTTAGACCCAAAATAAACAATAATTTATGAGTTAATTACGTAATATGTCCCCAAACTATTATCCTCATTTTAAATTAGTCTTTAAACCTTTAAGAATTCCAATTTCATTCCCAAAATCTGGCTCTCATTCTAAATTAGTCTCCAAACTTTTGAATCTTCCACTTTCATCCCCAAATTCATCCACATATGTAATTATTTTTAACCATAGTTTAACCTAAATTTTATTTTTCAAACATATAATAAAATAATTTGGACTAATGGTTTTATTAACAAGGAATATGATTAATATATACGCACAATTTGATATGAAATTAAAATATTTAAAAAGTTTAGTGACCAATTTAGAATAAAAATTATAATTTGGAGATGAAACATAAATATTTAAAAGTTTGAAGACTAATTTGAATGATAGTCATAGTTTAGGGAAGAAAATATAATGCTCAAAAGTTTAGGGACCAATATAGAATGAGGGCCATAATTGAGGGATGTATGATGCAAGTAACTCATAATTTATATATGAGACAAATATTAAAATTAAACATGGATTTTACTCAAATATACAATATAATATGTAAATTTAATTTGAACTTAATTAAAACATAATTTTGATTTTAATTAACCCTATATATTTTAAAAGTAATATCCATATATAACATTATATGTATAACCAAAATTTATATATAATTTCAATATTTGCCATTAATATATATACGCACGATTTCTTCATCAAAGGCATGGTGCCAGGAAAAAATTAGCCCAATTAGACACACGGCTGAAAAAATTAGCCCAATTAGATAATCGAGTAAAAATATTGGGCCATTAAATTACCTTCAAAATAATTTGGGATCTACAACAAATGTTATTGAGCAGGACAAATTCACTACGCACATGATGAGTTCGTTCAAATAATATTTTTTTATTTAAACTCGTCACATCAAACTGATAATTTCTAATAAAATATAATTTTTTATTAGATTTTATCACGTCAGAGTGATAAATTCCAATAAAAGAATATTTTTTTATTAAAACTCGTCATGTCAACGAGACGAGTTCTAAATAACAGTAATAAATACCGTAATTTTCAAAATATAATATATGATGTCGTATTAAACTAAATAATTAGTCCGCCTAAGCAAAAATCGTCCATGGTGCCATTGCAGCACTATAGGAGCATTACAGAGAACAGCAAATGTAAATTAAATACCAAGGACACTCCTAATATATACCTGAAATATATGGGATAGTCTTTTAAATCTGAATTCAAATTGTAATATCTATATTGTTTTTTAACGGAAGTAATTAATTTTATTTAAAATAAAAATATCATAAATTACAATCAAGATCGTAATTTAAGTAAATAATTAGAAAATTTTCCTATAATTATTCAAACAAAATAACAACCTAAGATCATAAGGACCATACGAGAAAATATTAAAAATCTAACAAAAAAACTCGAACAAAAATTAATACAAATAGATTTGATCACGTCGATAAGCCAACCATAAAAAGGGATCAAGATATTGAAAGACCACTGACAAAATCGCAAATCAGACTCGAGCGACATGAAAAGTTATCCACGATAGTAAAACGGTATCCAAATCCCTCCGATTGTCCAAAGCAGGGAAGATCAACAATATATCAGATAAATGACATATTGATCAGTCGTAGCGACGTCAAATCAACCTTTAAAAATAAATGAAAAAAAGTCAAACGATTGAAAAATATACAAAATGACAAAAGAAACGTCTCACAAAGGAATATAAAAACGTGTCATAAAGGCAAATAAAGGCAGATGAAAACGTGTCATACAAGCAGACTTACTGAAAATAAAAAAAAACAAAAGAAAATAGAGATACAACATAAGAAAGGAAAAAGACAATAAAAAAATGTCAACGGTCGACAACCAACATTAAAGTTGGTGTTGTAGCGCCGCAATCCAGTTAGACCTGAAGACATGAATTACAATGTTACACGGTATTACCGAAATAGTGACCTAAAATTTTATTTTAAAACTACTTGTAAATCTCTAAAATTTAGACATTCATAAAGTAATATAAAAACATAATAATAAATTGGGTTTACAAATAATGGAGAGCTCTCAAAATACATCCACAAAATAATACAAAATATTAAGTTTCAAAAGAGTTACGACTGAATACATAACAAGGTTCATAACAGTACATGCCCTCTAAAGATGACTCAAGACGTACTCTGAAAGGTCTCTAGAAATCTTCTTTGTTGCACTAGAATATCTGATGACGATAGTTCCCCACAATTTGCCCCTAAGAGCCCGCACATGGAAACACATTCTGAATGCCAAGCTTACGAGGTCAACGCCTCACGAAAAACTGTACTATATTATATGCATTTACTAAATGAAATGACAAGTGGCATAGGTCTGAGTATACAACTACTTGGATGTTAATATGTGGTTGGCATCATGGTGCGACTGAGGGATTCTGCATCTCGGAGCTCACACATCCTCTAGCACTCTCGAAGCACCATCGGAAACATGCACCCACCGACTTACTCCGTCGAGTCTTGGGGCATCTGCACCCAGTAGGCTGCTAAAGTACTGTGACATTGACTTGGATCCACTAATTGTCGTATTTATGCTAAAAGAAACTCGAGTTTCCTGATTGTTTCTCGAGCATCAAACAAGGCTAGTTTTATGTAAACCTAGCCATATTTTGTTTCTACTATTCTGAAATTAATTATTGTTCTCGCTTGAAGTCTTATTTAAGGATATACTGAAGTGTTGGGGTACCTCGAGTCTAATTCCCTTAAAAACTGACATTTTATCCAAAACAAACTGAAAACATCGATACTAGCCCAAGAGTATCGATACTCCTGCAAAAGTTTCGATACTTTCTACAAGTATCGATACTTTTAGACATTCTGGATTGCCTAGTTTCGATATTTTCTGGGAGTTTGGAAACTATGACCCAAATTATCGATAATCTTGCCCAAAAACTCACGATTTTGCCCAAGAAGAAGAACAAGTTTAGATACTATCCCTCTAGTATCGAAACTCAACCTACAGAGAGCATAAAATAGGAGCAAAAACTCATATTCTACTATCCTAAAAACCTTAGGGAGGTCCCTAAACATTATCAATGTTTTATGAAGATACAAAGGAACACAAATAAGGTTTTAAACATGTTTATAACTCTAAAACATGAAATCTACCATGGGAATGTTTCAAGCTTATGCAACCTACTACATTTATCTAAATGACTTGCGCATAGTATAGTTGAGTCAAAAGTGAGTTACCTTTGATGCTAAAATGTTGAAAACACCCAATACTCAACCAAGAGTGAGTTTCTCATTCCCTTTAGCTTTGAAGTTTTCTCCAATCTCTCTTACTAGACAAACATCAAGGGATAGATTACTAGCTGAAAGAAATGGTTAAGAAGGTAATAAGAAAACTTCCTAAACATGTGGATTATTGAAAACAAGCTGAAATCTTGAAAATTCTTAAACCCCACAAAAATATGTTCTTGGCTCTCTTGGTGAAATTGTGAAGTTAAGGGTTCAAAAGAAAACTCTAAAGATGCTGAATTCACTCCTTACCTTGGTATTGCTGAACTAAGGTTGCCAGGTTCCAAAGTTATCACCTTTAACTTGCTTAACTTAGAGGAGAATAAGAAAGAAGAAGAAAATTTGGAGAGGAAGAAGAGATAAGGAAGAGTTGAGAAAAATAGGGAGTATCAGACGTGATCTCACTAAGCAATTAAAGATTTCAGCCTTTTGAAATTTTAGAAGGTTTAATTGTTACCTTAGTCTTCTAATTCTGACTGTAGATTAAAAATGTCCTTTTTAACTCCTTATTGGGCTTACCTCAAGCCCAATCCACTTTAATTTGGGTTAAAACATCTTACAAGTTAGAAATTAACCCAATGTCCATCTCGGGTTAGTCCAAAACTTCTAACTCGGGATTCGGAGCGTTACAGGTGTCGTCGTCGATCAATAAAGATGAGAAAAAAAGATAAATTGTAAACCAATGAGAGAAAACGTTACAATCGATTATATCTATATTATTTTTTATATCGAATCTATGGGTTTTTATATAGAAAATAACAAAAAAATAATAATAAGTGTTGCAAATAAAGAGTAAAAAAGTGTAGTGGAAATGGAATCAGCGCGATCTTTGATGATGTCCAAGCTGAGCTCGCTAAGATCGGTTGCTTGCAGCTCAAATTGAATCCCATCCAATTGTCGTTTGAATTTGTCCTTCGAGTTTGCATATAACATCTTGCTCCTCACCCTTGACGTATCAGGTGCCCTATATCCATATTTCCACCACACAATAACTCACCATTTTTCTTTTTCCTTTAAATCACAACAAACAAGACGATCGAGTGTGTTCGGTTTATAGAAATCTTAGTACCATGTAAAGAAGAAAATCTTGGATTTCTGACAATTCTCGTCGGTAACGAAATCGTAATCGAAGACAGCGTAACGACATTGATTTTCAGGCAAGGCCTCGATGAAATCTTGGTAAGTTTCTCGAGGACCTCCCACTTCCTCTACCACCACCTCTTGTGTCGTCTCGTTGATCTTGTACAGAATGAACCAATGGTTTCACTTCGCTTTTCCAAGAGCTTGCACTCCTCACCCACAGCCATTACAGACAATGAATTTGCCTAAAAAATGCAATATGTGAAGCCAAATTCCAGATAAAAGAATATATCTACATTACAAGAAAAACTCATCATCTCAAATATCAATCAAACAAACCTACAAATTTATACTAATTCTCGATAAAATCTATAAAAACAATAA